TATATATACAGGGTATATATTATCTCGATATATGATGTTTATAATAATTGTAGCTACTGTACAGTCATTATCTTTCTCTGTCTCGATAAATATAGTGTGATATCTAATACAAACAAAGGAACATGCAAACCACAAATTTCAACTTATATCAGCCATTTCACATTAATAAAGCCAACGTCAAATTGAATGGTTTTGAAGCTCTATCAGTGCCCAATTTACTCCCTTATTAGTCCAATTGCGCATAGTATAAAGCTTACAACTACATTTTGCTTAACTGACCTAAGAGTCTCTAAATACATGTTTGCAGTTATGCATTTATTATTTATAATAAGAATGTTAATAACTGTAGCCCACCTCGATGTAAGTTTTAGTTTTAAAAAAGAGTTAATATTACTTAGATAAAAGTTAGTTACGGAGCTTTACAGTGTGCACTCTGGAAAATCCAAGTAAAGTTTGTCTTTTTTTGTGTGTGTGTTAATTCTAGTTACTGCGTTCAAAATACGCAGCTGCTGCACAGTACATTTACTGAACACGGGCAGAACCTATGGCAACTTTTCACTAACACGGCCACTTTGATATTATTGCTAAGGTCCCGGTCCACAACACGGATCTAGGTGCAGATTTAGGGGTCAAAATGTTTCCAAAAGTCCCACAAAAACGAATGGGTTATTGGGGGGGGGGGTCTTCACCTGGGAAAATTTTAATTCCCAGATGGAGGAAAATGAGGTTTCCCGACTTCTGAGGTGTCTTTTAATGACTTAAGTTCAAAATTCAAGGTTTTCCTTACTATTGAAAACGGTGGTAAACTTGCTCATTCTTATTCACGGTAAATAAGCCTATTATGTGTGTATATACTTAACAAAAAATGAGTAGTTGCACACGTATTCTTTTTCTATGAATCTATGAACCCCAAAGAGGTTCTCCCGGGAAAACTTTGATTCCTAGCAAGCTTTCCCGACTTCAAATTTTCCCTATTGCAAAAACAATATCAGCTCAGGGTCCATGAAAACGTAGGTCTAGAATTGATTTTTTTTTTCTAAATCTATTTATTTTATTTTTTAAATTTTTATTTAATTTTTTTTTTTTTTTTTGCCTAAGGGAGGGTCAGGGCCCCCAAAAAAACCAGATCCGCAAAAAATAAACACTGCGTGGTCCTAGAGCCTTCATGTTTGTAGGACAAACCGTGTTCCCATGGCGGCGTACTGCTCCGGTGAGCTGCATTGAACATCCTAAAGAAATGCAAACTTGTAATGTTAACATGTCTTTGCATTAATTTATACGATTTATAGGTACGTGTTTTTTTTTTTTTTTTACCATTACAAGCGAAAACTTTAATTTGCAATTTAACAACCATTTCTGTTGTTCGATTTAACCGACCATTAACAATGCTATGAACAGGGCCGGCGGAACGTTTTTCAAAGTGGGGGGCCTCCACTTATAAGCAGGCGCGTAACAAGGGTCTTGGGTCGGGGGGGGGACGGCAAAGGTAATAATTTTCCCGGTTAGTAATTTATGACTTGGTGTGATACCCCACCCCCATATAGAAAACAATACGACATAGGGCTTATTTTATTATTAATATAGGGCACACACGTGTGTTTGAAACTAAATAATAATAAGTATTTTCATCGTGGTTTTATTTTTTACAATCATAGGCCTATTCTTTCACCATCATTACACATGAGGCCCTTCTTTTAGGTAAAACGATCTATCTTAAATTTTCTTTCTCAAGTTTTGGACTATTATGTTTTTAAATAACTTAGAAGGCAAAGGAGGGCAAGCACAAGCTTTAACCCTAACAAATGCGCGCGAAGAGCACGGAAATTTTTTGTATCTTTAATTCTAATTTCGTCGGAATTGATCAAAACTCCCTAAATGTGCAATTTTTAGAGGAAATTGGCCTACCTAAACAAGAAATGCTCTTATGTTATATATGGCCAAACTCGTTTTTTAAAACTGAATATAGCATTTTCCTTATGGCTTTATTTATTACAAACATATTCTTTCAACATCATTACACATTGAGGCCCTTCTTTTAGGTAAAACGATCTATCTTAAATTTTCTTTCTTGAGTTTGGGACTATGTGTTATAACTTAGAAGGCAAAGGAGAGCAAGCACAAGCTTTAACATGAAAAAATGCGCGCGTAGCGCGCGAAAAAAATTGGTTTTTTTTTATTCTAATTTCGTCGGAATTGATCAAAACTCCCTAAAATGTGCAATTTTTAGAGGAAATTGGCCTACCTCAACAAAATATGCGATTTAAAATTTGAGATTTTCAGGAACTTTCTCGGGTGAAAAAGGCATTCAATGGGGAAAGATTTTCCACTGATGGATATTTTCCCCTTGTCCCCGGTGGTTACGCGGAGAATACCTGGCGGCTTAGATCAAATGCGATATGGACACTTTTTGAAGTGGAGAAGGGGTTGCGGCAGTGCTTATAAGATGAATGGGAATATGAATCATGCAGATCTGGAATCAAATCTAGGTGGTGGGGTCAACATTCCTCCCCCGGGAAAATTTTGATTTCTATATGGCAGGAAATGACCTTTCTCGACTTTTGAGCTAGTAAAACGGTAAGGTAAACTTTCTCATTACAGTAAATAGGCCTGTTATGTGTGTATACATACATTTAAAAAAATTGAGTAGTTGCATACGATTTTTTCCATGAGATGAATCCCAAAAAGAAAGGAGGGTCCGGGGGTTCTTCCCCAGGAAAATTTTGATTCCTAAAAGGCGGGAAATGAGATTTCCCGACTTCTGAGGTGTCTTTTAAACTAAAGTCATTAAAAAATACTTCAGAAGTCGGGAAATCTCCTTGTCCACCATTTATAAATCAACATTTTTCCGGGAAGAACTGACCTCCCTTTCTCTGGGTTCATTGATTTATTATAATAATTTTCAAGACGGGAACACCTTGAATTTTGAAGAACTTAAAAGTTATACTAATTAATTTCTTCAAAATTCAAGGTTTCCCACTCTTGAAAACGGTCAGATAATTTTTTCCCATTGTTATTACAGTAAATAGGCCTTATGTGTGTATACATACATAAAAAAAGATTGAGTAAGTTACATACGTAGTTTTTATATGAATCGATAAATCCCAAAAAGAAGGGTGGGGGGAGGTCCTGTGGTTCTTCCCAGGGAAAATTTTGATTCCTAGGTGGCGGGAAATGAGTTTTTTCCGACATTTGAAGTGTGTTTTAATGAATTTTATGTTCTTCAAAATTCGAATTTTCTAATAGCAAAAAAAAAAAAAAAAAAATCAGCTCACGGGTCCTGAAAGGGTAGGTCTAGAATTCGTTTGTTTTTGCCATTTTTTTTTTGTTGCCCAAGGGAGGGGTAAGGACCAATGACCCCCCCCCCTCCCCAGATCCGCCAATATGAATTGCGAAAAAATGTATCTCGGTCGGGTACTGGATAAACATTCTCTTTCCCATCCTTCTTCCCTCCTTTTTTTGCATTTCCGATCATACAAAAATCTCCAGACATTATATATTTTTCGCAAAAAAAGGGGAGGGGGGCCGGGCCCCCCCGGCCCCCGCTTCCGGCGGCCATTATGAAGTTTAGGCTTGTATAACTTGAATGAATAATATGTAAAATTAATACGACACTCGAAAAGGAATTTATATTAATATTGATTTGAATTCCAATAGTTTATTGCTATTCTGGTTTTTTTTTTATGTATATGCCATGGCCAAGTCCAGATTAGGCCTAGTCCAGTCCTACGATTCGACTATAATATTATCCGATATTTTCCTCATAGTATTGCCATGTAGGCTATTAGTCTGGTTGTAAAACTGCTGAATTGAACTTTAGCGAGAAAAAAGTAAAGGAAAATTAATTTTAGGGTTTTTTTCGAATCAGCATACCCTATAGTGTCTCATAAAAAAAAATTCCTATGCCTAGGGCTTGGGTAATTTTATTTACAGCACTTTGAAATTTTGACCTAAAATACCCTATTTTAAACTATTTAAGATGGGGGTAGGGGAAATAAATTTATGTTTTTGGTCATTTTTACATATACTGTGGATATGAAATGTAACAACAACTTGGCTAAATAGTTACTCATCA